AACTATTATCTGCAACTATTTTTACGGAGAATAAGGAGACTATGAAAACCTAGTCAGTGAAAATGAACCGTAGTTTCAGAATTACAGAAAAATGGAGTATGACATTTTCACCTCTTATCTACTCCTATTGTTCCTTATTCGCATCAATGCACTTTAGATAAAAACTTTACTTCGTGCTGAAACTGTCGGGCTTACATTTCTGAACTTTGACCTTATGGTCGAGTAGAAAGTAGAAGTCCGGGTTACAAAACCATCTCTAATTATTTAGCGAAATACTTATCAAAAAGTTTTCATTTACGCTCTCTTTATGCTCAACATGGCTTAAAAGATAATCACAAAACTTATCGGTTTTTTAAGCATCTTTATCAATATGAACAAAGAACTGCTCAGCTAATTGGTCAACAGAGATTAGATACTTTAACTGGTCAACATTTAGCTAAAAATCAAAAAGTATTTCGTAAATTCAACTATCAAACTTCCCAAACTTCTTATTTTTACCGCACTCAAGAAAAACTAGTGGGCAAGTGTGCTAATCCGGTGCTGATCAAAAAAAACTATCGTTTAGGAACTAGGTCTTTAAATTCTTTAAACTTGCTAAATTTAGCTACTAAAGATAAGAAAAAAGAACTTTATCAGTTTAAAAAACCGCTAAAATCAACGCTGCAAAGTGATTTTCAAGAATTCTTAATTACTAGACTTTTACTACTCTGTAAAAAAGCGGAATTTCTCCATATTCCTTTGGAGCAAGAGCAAGTTCCCAAAGAAGCAGATCAGTGTAGTGAAAATATTCAGCACCATTTTAAAACTAATCCAGTTTTACATTTCTCTTTTTTACCCACGCAAGCTTCTCTAATTAGAGCATTTATGACTAAATTAGATGACTATGCTGCAGAGTATGATTTAGAAGAAAGTAAAGAATTTCTTACTTATCCGCTAGCTCATAATGCTCAACATGAAACTATCACTAAACTAGGAGGACTATGCGGTTGTGATCCCACTAAAGTCAGAAACCAATATTTAGATAACTGGTATTTAGATTACTCGGCTAATAATACTGATTACCGAAAAGCAAGTTTTTAACTATTATGAATCACCAACTAACCCAAATCGAACAGAGAACCCCAATCTAAAAAAGGAGACACCTTTTGATAGCTTTTTTTAAAAGCTATTGGACAGTTATAGAGTCTTTACTGCCGATAGAAAACGAAGTGCTATCGGAAACAAATGAGCCAAGTAAGAGCGAAAATAGTTTCGCGTTCTCTGATTCCCTTAGCACTT